AAGGTCTCTGATGACACCATGGCCCAGATGATCCAACATCCAGAACCGTTTCAAGGCAACTGGCTCAGACGAATACACCCTCATGGACTACTCCATAATCCTAAAATGTTCTTTGTGTCCCCATAAGATACAGCGCCCCCCTCCAGCAGGAAGTAGTAAGAGAAGCTACGCCCAAATTCCCAAATATACCAAGCTGACTTTAGAGATGTGTAAAGGTTAAAACCTTCCTTTTTAAGAAAAGAAAACGGGAAGTGCTGTGGGATGGTCTGTATGTCAAATGTGTTGCTGATTGGTCAATGAATAAATCACTGATTGGCCCGTGGCCAGGCAGGAAGTGTAGGCGGGACAAGGAGGAGAATAGAGCTGGGAAGTGGAAGGCTGAGTGGGGAGACACTGCCAGCCGCCATCAGGATAAGGAAGATGTAAAGTACCGGTAAGCCACAAGCCATGTGGTAAGGTATAGATTAATAGAAATGGATTAATTTAAGCTGTAAGAACAGTTAGCAAGAAGCCTGCCATGGCCATACAGTTTGTAACCAATATAAGTCTCTGTGTTTACTTGATCGGGTTTGAGCGGCTTGGGACTGGCGGGTGAGAGAGATTTGTCCTGACTGTGGGCCAGGCAGGAAAACTCTAGCAACATCTAAGTCCTCTTGCATACCTAGTCTTAAGCTCTTGGCTTCCTCCTTCTGCTGCTGCTCCCAGCTGTTCTCCATGTAACGTAAGGCATAGTCACTTTCATCTTTATACTTTTTTCGGTCATAGCCAAAGATTTCCCGAATGTTCTTGGATATTTCTTCCTGAGGTTCTCCTTCATCGTCGATGAAATCATCCATTTCTGAGTCATATTCATCATCATCTTCTTCTTCATACTCTCGAGGCCTTTTGTAGCCAGTAGGGAAGGGGAGCCTTTGAGGACCTTGGGCAGGTCTGTAGCCAGACAGGAAGGCTTCATTCCATTTATCTGTCCATTGCTTGACCGACTAACAATATTCTTCGAAGAAATCATTTCTGAGACAACAGTGCACTTGGGAACAATAAAAGACCAATTGTTATCAAGCAGGGAATGAATATACATAGTTCATCTCCATCACATAGTTGTGTAATGGAAAACAACTCCAGTGAAAGGGACCTAATCACACTGCCATCAACAACATTGTTATGCTCAGCTAAGGATCTTGACACTAAAGGGTGCAGAAAATTTAATTTATATATAATAGTTTAGTATCATCACCTGGCATTGAACAGTGCTGAGGAATTGAAGTCATGTTGGAGATTTAAAAGAATCAGGAGTCTCCAGGCCATTACTTCTCTAGAGTCATTTACTGGGATTTTCTGGAGATTTTTATTGAAATTAGGGACAGAGAAGCAATGATAAACATACCAAGAAGTTCTCATCTCTTTCACTACATGTGTTCAGGAGACAGAAAGTCTCAAGACCAAATAGAAGCTGTTTGCATATTGTTCTTGAAAGTGCTAAGCTAGAGAAAGGAAATGCCTGATTGCATCATTCTTTGGGCAGGAGAGGCATTCCTCCCAGGGGAATAAACAAAGATCTAAGGGAGCAGATTTCACACAGCAGGATAATGTAGCAAAGTCTATATAATATGCAGGATACAGTGTTGAAAATGGAAAAAATGTAGATTACAAAAGAAGATTAGATGTTCTTTGGATTAGAGGGTGTAAGAATGGAAGACTCCATGATACATGGGAGTCTTTGTGCATTGGAGACAATGTTCTACTTATTATGTAGTTATGGACAGTGGACTATGGATATATAGCAACACTAGTGTTCATTTATTTATACATTTTAAGGGAACGCAGTGTACTTTACACAATAAATCCATCCTTTTAAGATTGATGGACAATGTTAATTCAGAGGAAATATACTGAATTCAGTTAGAAAGAATTTAAGAATTTATTGTGAAGTCTATGTTAGGTCATGATTCTCTGGCTATAAATTGAGAGCTGTAATCAACAGAATGCACTGACTTTCTGAATATGGGGTAGTAGGAATGAACCATGACTTGAACAACTATCTGGATAGAAGATGTATTCATAGAAGTAAAATTGAGAATGAATTAACAAATAAAGTAATAAAAGTGAACTGGAGAAACTGACAGTGATAACTTCTGCCTTGCAGAGACCCCTAAAGTTACCCTGTCTAGTGTCTGATAACATTGTCCTACTTGTTCACTGTCACTTCTGGGTGTCAATCATATTTGAATAAGATTATTATTAACAGGTATTACATTCTAAGGCTGCCTAGTGGTTTATGAGTAATAAAGTATAATTTCTTTCTTAAATTTATTGCATTAATGTTGACTTTGACTATGTTAATTCTCTTAATTGGTATCTTTTTTTTTCTCCTTTCCTTAGGCCTTTAGACAATTTATCTGAAAGAAAGCATTTCACATGATTGACTTTATGTGGAATAATTAATTCCTTAGCAGTTTACTTGTTTCAAAATTGATAATGCAGGTCAGTGCACACCAGGAAAATGCAATGATGTACTGAAGAGACAGAAAAGGAAATTCTACCATATGTCATGAAGCCAGACAAATTACACACATGTAAATGATACTGGGAACTCAAGGTCCACTCTTAGGGTTCTCAGTCCCATTAATAAAAAATTTAAGAACAGATCCAAATAGAAACTCACAGACAATCTTATTAGAGTTTAAAAGAAAGCAGCCCAGGGCAGGCAACTGTGAATCTCAGCCAGTGCCTGGAGGAGAATAGAGGAGAAGGAAAAGGCTATGCAATTAGAATCAGCATAGAGGTCAGACACATGGTGAAAGCAGACACACTGGGGAAGGGGACTTTAAAAGAGAGTAAGGAAGCCCAAAGCATTGGGGAAAGTGTGCTTAAAACAGAGAAGGAAGAAAAAAAGTATGCTTTTCTGACTAATTTAGGGAATTGGGCAGACTTACAAAACATCGTGGCTGTGGTTCTGTAAGCTGCTGTGCTAGGGGACAAGAGTTCTAGAAAGGAAAAGTACAGTATTTTATTAAGGGAATAACTATTCCACCAATTCTTCAGCATGGTTTGAGGTTGAGACCATCTTCCTAGAAGTGTCTTTAGTCAGCTGATTGACCCTGCCCAACAGAAATTTTAGGTCTTTACCAAGGTGAGGACTCTATTCTCTTGACAAGGAATGTCCCCTTAATAGACGTTTACTGCTATTCTAACATAAAATGTACTAGATTGAGATACTCACGAGTTGTCTTTGGTTACTGACAATATACCATTAATAAGCAATGAGATAAAAGGTTGGCTAACAGTATGTAGTCATTAAAAAATTTCATATATTATCTGAAAACAGACTTCTCATTATTTCATAGCCAAATACCTTATTGATCATTTTATAATATAACACATACACTTGTTCACATCAATGGAAATTATTAAGACAAGCATTTATAAATAATAAAAAATGTATATACTAATGAATTAATTTTTTAAAATAAAAACTTCTCTGCAGTGTTTAAATATTTAGAAATAATATATATTCTGTTTAAAGTCTGTATTCTTTTGAAAATGTGCATACAGAAAAAGAAAAGGACTATTGGCCGAGCAACAAGATTTCAGTATATGACACTAATTAAGTTTTATTGTAATTTTAAAAGATGATATATGAAAATATGAAGAAATGGAAAGAAATGAAATATAAGAAAGGTACAACCTTCACAAACAAGCACCAGACCTGGTCATGTGTGTTCATGTGTAATTTGTTTTAATGTGTATGACTCTTTTTCATTTAAACGTGGTCTTCATGCTCTTCTGCTAGAACAAGTTAGGACATGTGCTGGAACAGGACTGGGCTCTTGCTCCAAAAAAGAACAAGGAGGAGCTCTGGTGGCCCTTTTGGGGTCACCTACATATTACATGTTCTTTCTGTTCAGCCAGGAAGGTTTCCAGCTTTCCTCTGAGGTTATTTAATTTCAAATGTTAATCATGATGCATCAGGATCTCCCCTTCTTAGCTGTTTCCCCATTTCTGTTTACTCCTTCCCACTGCCCTGTGAGATTTGTTGTCTCAGAAATATTTTGGAGGAATTGAAGGACAATGACTCTTCTTTTGTAACCTTTTACAGGCTAATGAGGAAGATGGTCCCTGTCCCTCATCATGAAACTCATCACTCTCCTGTCCATTCCTCAAAGAGGAGAGTCCAGTTCAAGTTCAGATCCTGATGGGCTAGCAACTGGATGACTGGCATGTAGGCAAAACACTTATCTGTAGAAATTGTTGGATTTTAGGGCCAGAGTTCAGTTTGGAATACAAGGACTCAAAATATAAGCCATAATCAGAATTATAAACATTGGAGCCACCAAGGCTATTATTTTCCACAGCCATGAGAAGGTAGAACTGGAAATAACACAGATAAGCCAGTTGAAAAGTAAAGTGAATTTTAATACAAATTATGTTCGGCAACATGAATTCAAGAGAGTTTTTTTGGTTAAGCCATTTAAGTGTATGTATTAATGCCATGTACATTCATGCTAATATGCAAAAATTGTGTATAGAGATATAAAATTAGAATGGGCATTTAAAATAAAATGCTTGAATTGAAAGTTATGACTTGCTTAGTGAGTGAGCTTACAGGTAAGTGGTATTATTATTTATTCTACTTACTGTTGTAGTATTGACCATGCATAGGTTTTCAAACTATTTACTATTACTGGTTGTGTTTACATACATGCACTTATTGATACATACATACATACATATATATATATATAATGGGAAAGAACAGAAAATGGATTCTATAAGTTAGATAAAGAAATCAGGAGTAGTTTATGAATGTTTAGCTTCTCTTAACTGGAAAGAACAAAAAATGGATTCTATAAGTTAGATAAAGAAATCAGGAGAAGAATATTTATAATGATAATAGTTTTACAGTATAGTTCAATTTTTCAAAACTACTTTTCCTTTGCATTAACATGAAACTCAAAGGGTTGCAATGATAGAATAATTCTTTGAGTATGATATGTGCAGTTTTATGACATATCATAAATATTTATGACAGAGCAAATATGAAGTTTTCCCCTGTGAACTCTACCTGACACCACCTTCTTCAGAGCAGTCTTCATGGCCTCATTCCTCAGACTGTATATTACAGGGTTGAGTGTTGGGGGTAGTACTGTGTAAAAGATAGATAGAAGAAGATCTAAAGCAGTTGGTGAGTCAGAAGTTGGCTTTAGATGTTCACATGCACCTGTGATCAGAAAAAATGAGAAAACAAAGAGGTGGGGTAGGCAGGTGGAAAAGACCTTAGACCGACCTTCAGCAGAGGGCATCCTGAGAATTGTGGAGACTATCTGGCCATAAGAGAGGGTGACAGCAATAAAGCAAGCAAAGGCCATCACAGCCATGAAGGAAGACACTCCTATCACTCCAAGGTAATCATTAGAGCAGGAGAGCTTGAGTAAGTGGGGGATGTCACAGAAGAACTGGTGGATTATTTTGTCACTGCAGAATCTGATAGAGAATGTAGTTGTTGTGTACAAGGTTCCTGAGATGCCTCCACTTAGCCACACAGCTGTCACAGCCCACATGCACTTCCTAGGATCCATAATGACCTCATAGTGCAGTGGGAGGCAGATGGCCACATAGCGGTCATAGGACATCACTGTGAGAATGGACACCTCAGCAGCAACCAATGATGTGAAAAAAAAAACTTGCAGAATACACTGGCCATATGAAATGTAGTCATTATCCATCAGGGAATTGTCAATAGACTGGGGAACTGTGACAGAAAGAGATGAGAGGTCCAGAAGGGAAAGGTGCTTCAGGAAGTAATACATTGGGTACTGGAGCTGCGGGTCCAGTGTTTTGATGGTGATAATGATGAAGTTACCTGCCAACCCCAATAGATATGTCACCAAGAAGAGCAAAGCATGCAATATCTGCAGTTCACGTTTGTCAGAGAATCCCATGAGAAGGAACCCACTCATTGTGGTTAAGTTTGTCATAGTCATTTTAAGACTAGAAATTGTGGTAGCAGCTAGAGATAAAAAAGATGTAGTAAATGCAATAGAAACTATGTGTTCATCCAAATTAATTTCATTAATTAATGTGTGTGAACAAATAATTAGTTGGTTGTGTCCTGGATATCAGAACCTTAGGTATAAAGTTCACATTTCTTATACCTGTGGTGCTTACACTTTGTATCAGAAAAGCAGTTGTTACAGGTGGATGAAAATATGGGCCAATCAGTGGTGCTGTCAGAAAAAAAAAATATTTTGCTCCATAAAAAATAATCACTCTTTTTTTTCACAGGCAAACTGCTTTGTTTTATTTTAAAGCTATCAGCATAAATATACTGATGAGATTTTGATTAAAAAATTTTGATCTCAGACTGCACAGATGCTCAGTGGTTAAGAGTATTTGCTCTTCCATAGGACCTGAGTTCAGATCCAAACACTCATGTCAGGTGTCTCAGAACAACCTGCAATTCCATCTTCAGGGGATCTTGTGACCTCCTCTGACCTCACCAATCATAAATAATAAGTCATAAACCATTTTGATCTCTGGCTGGGCTACTTATTTTGTAGTGTTGTATTTTAGTAGTTAATGAATAACTCTGTAGGGGAAATACAATTTCTGAACTTAAAGCTTGATTTGTTTTATCCAATTACATCACTTACTTCTCAGAGAGAAACAAGGTTTCCTTCATGGTCCACTGCTGATCTTTGTGGGAGGGAGTCAGCCAACCATTCCCCCTTTTCAAATTTGTATTGGGACATGAGCTGACTTGTAGTTTTCCGAGATTTTCATCTTCTGTCTGTGAGTTTCAGCAGCTACTGTGACAAGTGATCAGTCTTCTCTGGTATTCTTTAAATATGGTTAAATCTCTTTATGTAATGGCTTATCATCAACTTCAAACTGGTATTTGGGAGACTCCTAAGCCTGCGGGGCAGCATTTTGCTCTATAAATCATAAATCTGAGAATAGTTTTTCCCCAGCTAATACATTTCTCCTAGTGACAGCACAGATTGATTCTTCTCTCTCATGTCTTCATTTTGTAAGCAGTGAACCTGATATCTGAGCATTCCATTTCTGTATCTTCCTGGCAGTTCATTCAGTTTAGATTAGTATGAAATGGCTGTTAGTTCTAAGCCCGGTGGCACAAACCTGCAATCAGGCATAAGTAGGCTATGGCATGAAATCATGACTTCAAGATCTGCCTGAGCTACACAGTGAGATCCTGTCAAAACAATGGGGAGACAGAGGAAGAGAAGAATGGAGAATAGATAGTTATGCTAACTAAATATTTGATTTTCCTTTTAGCAGTCACTTTTGAAAACTTCTTACCTCTTATTCTGTTTATTGGAATCACACATTCAGTATTTCTAGAATTCTCTCAAATTTATTGATTTTCTTTTTTCAAACCACAAAATGGAAATCAGGGAGGATTGGAGATGAGAGTTATGTTTCTAATACAGCTTCTCTTTTCTGTGGTCTTGTTTTTCTGTAGCTAGAGTTTTCCTGCCTGGCCCACAGTCAGGACAAATCTCTCTCACCTGCCAGTCCCACAGCCACTCAAACCCGACCAAGTAAACACAGAGACTTATATTGGTTACAAACTGTATGGCCGTGGCAGGCTTCTTGATAACTGTTCTTACAGCTTTAATTAATCCATTTCCACAAATCTATACCTTGCCATGTGGCTCGTGGCTTACCGGCATCTTCACATGCTGTTTCTCATCGTGGTGGCTGGCAGTGTCTCTCTCTCTCTCAGCCTTTCACTTCTCAGCTTTATTCTCCTCCTTGTCCCGCCTACACTTCCTGCCTAGCCAATGGCCAATCAGTGTTTTATTTATTCACTAATCAGCAACACATTTGCCATACAGAACATCCCACAGCATTTTTCTTTCCCATTTTTCTTCGAAAAGGTACATTATTATATGTGTATGATTTTTTATTTTGGTTCAATTTACACTGTAATCTGCCACAGTTATACACATAGCTACCAGCAGACAAAGAACACAAAATGAATGTGGCACGCATTCATTTGTACAAGACAAATACCATGCTAGAGTCCATCTTAAACAGACCCTTACTCAAACAAAGCAGTTTCTTCTTCTTCTTGGGAGAAAGTATTTTTTTTAAAGATTTTATGTGCATTGGTGTTTTGCTTTCATGTATGTTGGTGTGAGGGTACCAGAATCAGTGTGAATGTAATTACAGACAGTTATGAGCTGTCATGTGGGTGCTGGAAATTGCACTCAGGACCTCTAGAAGAACAGCCAGTGCTCTTAATTGGTGAGCCATCTCTCCAGCCCAGAGACAAGTATTTTAATCAGAAAAGTATTTTCAGAATATTAAAGTAATAATTAAAATGTGTGTTTCTTGGAATTCATCTAGATTCTTTCCTGTAATGTTTATAAATGGTAGTGAAATGGACACATGGATATTGGGAGAATAGCCTCAAAAACTGAATATTAGAAGAAATGTTTTACAGAAGTTTTTCATTAATCAACATGTAAAACATTTGTCTATCCCAATATACCATTTCTTTTAGTGGCATCTTTTTGTGATAAATTTTTAAAAGTTAAATCTATGGATTTATTAATCCAATAAATATCCTTTAATTATTAATTTATTAATCTTATTAATCTGCTCATTTCAGGGAGGTGAGCTTCCTCTTTGGCTACAATGACAATCTTATCTTGGCAATGTTATGAAGTGCTGTCAGAATTTCTATAAAATCTCTCATCTCAGTTCGGAAAACTTACCACAGTTGTGCTAGTGTGTGTGCAGTTCTCCAAGATGGTCAACATCCTTTGAAATGCTCACTGTCCTCTGGCTTAAAACCAAAAGCATCAATGAAAAATCAAACATAGTTTCCCTTTGGGGAGGTCATTTCCGTTTTGGGGTAGAGTGAGGGAGGCTGGATCATTAAAATTGGAAGCCTGAACTTAATGACAAAATCACCTCATTTTCTCTCATTCTTTGCCTACTGGGACTTGAGTCCTTGAAATTTCCACACAGCTACCAGAGAGTCTCTAACCCACACTCAGCAGCAGCTCTGACTTGGAGGTCTCAGGAGACTTCCAGGAAACTGCATGTCTGACAGGCTCCTAGGAGAATTGCTTGTGAGGGTCTGCACATCACAAGTGGAGAGCCATTGAATAGCTAAATTGAGCATTTGTGAGGGACTAACAGGAAAATTTAATCATTCATAAAAATAATTGATTCTCAAATGTCAGTTGTTCTGGAAAACATTCTAATTTCATCTTTTCCTGTGAAATTGATGTCTACATACAGAATTCTAGATTTCAACCAGCTATATTGGTCATCTATTATGGAAACTTGCTATCATTAAAACATGGAACAGGAGATATTGAAATATGTCTACAAACTTCACATGTGGGCCCAGTTAACACTTGTCATTAATGTTTTACAAAACCTTCATTAGTAACTAAAAAATGAGAAAGCTCATATTATTGTTTAGATAATTTGCATTACCTTAAGTATATTTTTAGATAGTAACATTTTCATAAATAATCATGGCTATCCAGTTCATGATTTATATCCTTGCTACCAATATTTTTTGGGTGCTATATGGTCTCAGTATAATGATTATATACTCACTATACTCAAAAAGCCACGTGGCATTTCTCTCAAAGTAAATCACAGTTTGCAGTAAATTTCACTTAAGATTATGAAATCTTAAAAACGTGTTTTTACTGTCTATTTGTAATCAGTTGTTTTTCAGCTTGTCCCCATTATAAACAGGATTTGTGCCTGGGCTTTAAAACTCTATCAATAACACTTCCAAAAAATTCATTGCTATATTTTTACTAAATGTGAATAGACAACACAAGAAATATTAGGAGATCAATATTGTAAAGATGGCATTTCTGTCACTATTTTTCTATAAAATGAAATTAAGAGAGATGGGATTAATACTGAAGAAATGTATAAGTATCAAATATTGTCAAGTTCTTTTATAAAATATCATGCTCTCTTATGATGCTCCCAACCTCACTTCCTACTGCATTGGCACAATAATTTCTTTCTTTTTTTTGTATTTTTTGCTTTTATTGAAAATAGGACTCCCAGAGATCCACCCGGGGCCTAGTCATGGATCTCTGCATCCAGATCCCTCAGTAGTTGGATGAGGTTTCTAGCACAACAATTAGGGTGTTTGGCCATCCCATCACCAGAGTAGTCAGTTCGGGCTGTCTCTCGACCATTGCCAGCAGTCTGTTGTGTGGGAATGAGGAGGGTTTATATGAGTGAGAATTGTTGAGACCAAGGTTGGATAAAGCACAGGGACAAATAGCCAAATGAATGGAAACACATGAACTATGAACCAATGGCTGAGGGGTCCCCACTGGATCAGGCCCTCCGAATGGGTGAGACAGTTGATTGGCTTGATCTGTTTGGGAGGCATCCAGACAGTGGGACCAGATCTTGTGCTCATTGCATGAGTTGGCTGTTTGAAACCTGGGGCCTATGCAGGATTGTTTGGCTCGGCCTGGGAGGAGGGGACTAGACCTACCTGGACTGAGTCTACCAGGTTGACCTCAGTCTGTGGGGAAGGCTTTGCCCTGGAGGAGATGGGAATGGGGGGGGTTGGGGGGAAGGTGAGGGGGATGGGAGGGGGGAGAACAAGGGAATCCGTGGCTGATATGTAGAACTGAATTGTATTGCAAAATAAATTAAAATAAATCAAAAAAAAATAAATAAAAAATTTATCTTATGAAAAAAAAAGAAAATAGGTTATTTTCTCATATAATATATCCTGATTACAATTTTCCCTCCCTCTTCCTCCCAATTTCTCTCCACTTCCCCTCTAATCTGTAACTACTCCCTTTCTCATTAGGAAAGAACAGACTTCTAAGCTTAGAGATAATAATAAAATATAACAAAGCAAAATATAAGATGAAACAAAAACTATCACATTAGAATTGGACAAGACCAACAAATAGAAGGAAGAGAGTCCAAGAGAAGGCACAAGAATCAGAGA